ACCCCCAGTTTTTGGTGGGGTTCGTGTTATTTAGTCTTTAGTTTTCTATGTTGTGTCATCTGTACTATTATTTGTCTGTGTGTCTTTTTATTTTTGGCCATGGCGTTGTCAGTTTGTTTTCGATCTGTGAGTTTGACTGTCCCTCTGGTATCTTTCGTTCCCCTTCTTGAATATCATGTCAATGTAGGATAATTTGGCTTCCGGTGAACTGTTGCCATGTGAATTAGCACTTTAAAAATTCAAATAAGCGTGTTGGTGTAAAACATGCATAATAAAATGTTCATACTCATGTTAACTTTATAACCTCACAACAAATGTACTACATGTGTATTTATATTTGTACGTTTGATTCAAAAGCATCCTTTTTTCTTTTTATTTTAAAGTTGTTTTGGGGGCTTTCTTTTTCATTGGAAATGATGCATTGTGTTTTTGTAATTGCTATTGGGATTTCGTTTGTTTGAACAGTATTCTAAATATATTTTTATGCAATTAGAAGCAACCTTCCTCAAGAACGCTTACACTTAGATATCTGAAAGCCAGGGATGTACAATTATGCAGAAACATTTGGAGATTTATAATCGAAAGAGAACTAAAATATAGCCAATTCATGTAAAGCTAATTTTGAATTATAGACCTATACTCTTGTCGTGATCGGTTACAAGAAATGATGTCTCTCCTTACCCTTCAAACCTCTTTTTCTAGTGGAATTTAACATTCCCTCCCTTTATCCCTGTCTGCATGTTTTGCAGTTAGTTTCGTAATCGTAATATAAAACTGTATGTTATTTGAATCAATGTAATACTATTTTTTTATCGTTGATTAACTGCTACCTTTGTTTCCTATCGCAAGGAAATTTCTAATCGGGAAGAGAATCAGATTTCTATTTTTATGCATTAGTTGCATAGATTCTAAAATTCATATTTCTATTTATACATGTTATATGTTATGTTGTTTTCTTCGAAACACTTAACCGGACTAATTGTAAGTAACTTGAAAAAAAGGGGGCGTTCAAACACTAATAAGTGATTATAGTATGATATTCTCTGAAGCCCGTGAAGGTAAGCCGCTGTACTTATATAATTATCCTATATGTTCAGTTGAAAAAAAATGAATTTATTTTACCTAAACAAAGCCGATATTGGTCATCCGTACGTAAAGATGACTTAGAAAGGGGTTGGTTATTTTTTCACTTTTCGCAAACCAGTTTCATGACAAATATTAAAGACTAAAAATTAAGTTAAAGTTTTCTTTTTCAAATTGTGGAAAACCTATATCAATGAAATTAATCATGTGATTTGCATTATAATCAAAAATTGTGCAGGATTCGCTCTAGCAAAATATCCTTATTTCCCAGTTGTTTTCCAAAGTTCTTGTCTTTTAACCCGTCGAGTTCTCTTATTACTGGACCTACATATTGCTTGAATTCTTTATTTGTTATCGTCGTAAAATATAAGAAATACTTGCCACTAGACATTAAGCAAATAACAATAAATGCATCAATCAATAAAACATCTGAAGTGTTTTAAATAGCCATTTGATTAAAAATTCTGCATAATTTTTAGTTTGATAAGATATGCTTAGTAGGATAGCATGTTTTTCAAAACATGACTTATTCAAATAGTCTATTGAAGTGATTTAACAAGCGTTGGAAATAGACACGAATTCTTCTTGTGGCAAATAAATAATAAGAAAAATAAAACTTAGTTTGTCAGGCTTATTATATAAGTCAAAAGTAGAATCTTGATATGTTGAACTACAAAGTTTTTCAACTTATGACAACTATTAGTTTCAAGTCTTAACATAACCATCGGCCCATTTTTATCTATATGTCAATTGATGCGTTTTGAGATCATGTGATTATCTCGTGTTTGTTTTTTTCCTTGAATTGTACATTCTAAAGGGTTTTACGTGTTTTGGGCATAGGTAGACTACTTTAGACTAAAATTTTAGTTCTGTCTGATTTTATTTGAATATTTTTGTTATCTGTCAGAAAAGTCTGTGTAATTACAATCTCTCTGTACTGCGAACCTTGTCGCTATCCGTTTGGAATTCTTGTGAATACCTCATATTTTGTTTTTTATCGTGATTTGTATTTTCGAAAGGGTTTTATTTGTTACCGACATCAGCAAGCTACTTTTGACAATAATTTTAACCATGTCTGATTTTTTTGAGTATCGGTGTTATTTGTCAAGGAAGTCAGTGTGGTGAACACAAAGTCTGTACTGCGAACGTAATGTTGTCTTTTTTGGAGACCATGTGATTGCCTGATGTTTGTTTTTTCCTTTGATTTGTATATTCTAAAGGTTTTTACGAGATCCGGACATCAGTAAGCTACTTTTGACAATAATTTTAACCCTGTCTGAGTTTATTTGATTATTGCCATTGTTATCTGTAAAAGACGTCTGTATAGTGAACACAAGCTCTTGTATTGCCAACCAATTGACATCTGTGTAACTCAAGTGGTGATAATTATAAAACATACATACTGGATACTCCAATTGAAATATTGTTTTAATTTACAATGTTATATGCAAGGTCTACAAAATGCTCCACGAAAGTATTTAAAAATTAGTTAATCTGTTTTATTTAATAGACTGCTCATCTCTAGACCCCAAAAAATGAAAAATAATGGATGGTTGAGAACAAAATTGACGTGAAAATGCAATATCTAATAATTTAATTTATAACTTTACATTCCGCAGCATTTACAAGGCATGTGAAACATTTCGGAGCACATTAGTTCATCCCTATTGATTTTAGATGAAAATACCACTTTGCGCTTTTATGGATTTATTAGCTACTGTAAACAAAAAGAATCCAGGATGTATAAATACGTGAATACTTAAAAAAAACTATATGTCAATTGGATATATAATAGCAAAATCCACCTAAGGTTGACTTTGCACGAGAGAGTTGGAACCTTCGTTTTTCTTTTATTTCTAAATTCATTACAAGAAATTTAAAATAATGTTGTAATAAATCTTGTCAGTTCATAATACTTACTAATGAGCGGACGATACCATTATTAATTATTTTTTGCGATCACTTAGATTATATAGGGCACTATACATCAACTACCAAAACTCATGCGGACAAAATAGACAAAGAACAACATACAATATATTGTTGTCTGTGTTGCTGGTATCGGTTACGGTATCACAATCCTTTGTTCCAAAAAAAGATATATTTCATTCATATACAGCTTTTAATTAGAGTTAGATATATCTTATGTTTGGTTTCCAAATTAAATTATGCAAACGTAGGCTCAGTTGAGCGATATTTACCAATCAGCTACACCGTGATACTCTCTTACCGGTTTCAACACGAGAAACGTTATGGATTTCCCTTCTTTAGCTGGAACAGTTGACTTCCCCGGAGCACCAGAAGTTGTTGAGGAATCTGTGCTGTTCAGTTTTTAGTTGCATTTGTAATGTTTTTGGAGTATTGTCTGGTTTTGAGTTTGTTTGTTATGATCTCCTATAATTATTTAATCGGCATCTAAAATAATCGTACATAAAATACTATAAGTCAATGTTATGTATTTAGTGTAGAGTGTTTTGTTTATGGAAATCCGGGATTAATTTTATTTATATGGTAAATTCATCATAGATACCAGGCTTACAATGTTGTACGCCCGTCGCACGTGTCGTCTACAAAAGACTTAATCGAATCAAAAAAAGTTAAAAGGACCAAATTCAGTGACTACAATTAAGGAATGACTGTTAATACACAATCAACCTGAATTTGAAAAATATTCAGTTTAAGACAAATAGATTTAAAATTTCAAGTTCTATACAGTGGGATATCCAGTGAACGAAAACAAAAGAAAATTCACTCTTCTTATGATATAGTCGAGAAAGTCAATAATAAAACAATGCCGGTGACGATACTGATCAAAAGTTATTTCCAAATAATAATTGTTCATTTTAAATAAATTAATTGTTAAACTGTGTTATTAGAAATATACATGCAAATACACGATGTTTTATGTTCAGTTATTTATCGAGTTAATTGCATTAGAAGCTTGTGGAACTGAGATTTAAAAACTGTCAATCTTTGCTGCATATTGATAAAAACAGTTGGTAAAAATCATGAACATACAAAATCTAAAGATCTTTCGGGTCACCAATTTTCGGAGTGTTCCAAAAAGTCCTTAGCATGTTACAAGTTCCCAAAGTATACTTATTTTTTCACACCTAAGTTATCGAGCACACCGGTCTGCTCTTGCCACATGTACATTCAGTAGAGAAATATTGTTTTTTTGTGAATATAAAAATTTAAAAGTCTGTCTGTGCAGGTTAAGAAGGTTAAGAAATTAAAGAAAACTATTTTTATAAAGTAGGTATCTTTCTACTATTTTTTTATACAATTTTAAGACAAGGTCGTCCCGATTTTTGTACACGTATTTGCAGTCTTCCCGATCTATTCACATTCAATGTTTACATCGAGATAAGGTCCGTTTGAATTTGCTTAGTAACTTGATTTCAAAAGTGCCAATCTTTGCTGCATATCAATCGATTCCTTTGGTATACAGCCAGTAGAAAAATAAATTGAAGTTGATACTTCAGGAATTTATTCGCATAGCATCATTTTAAACCAATTTTACATAAAGCTTCTATAGCCTGCTGTACTCGTCGTTTGCTTCTTAAGGAGGGAAATGATAACCTTAAATGGAAGATTTGTTTTTATTTCAACTTATTTCTATTTTTACTATTTACCAGAACGCTTTCCCGTGAATCCATAATTGATAGCGTCCTTGCTAAAATGGGACAAACATTGAGAAGATCTAGTTTTCAATATTTACAGGGGAGGTAATATTTTGTCACTAGATTTCCAACTGTTTACCTATCACACAACATGTACAAATCGTGAGGCTATTTTTATCGATGTACTAGTACTGCTTCCTCTGTTGACTTCCAACACGTGAATATTTTTAAATTGTGGAAAATCCAAAACCTATTTTAAGCATTGGTTTCACAAATTCTAAAATTAGTGTTTGTTATCAAGGTTGTTTCGTCGATGTATTTTATGGGAATTTTCTGTTCTAACACAGGCAACTCGTAACAACAGGAACACGTAGATGCAATTACAGTATCATCATTAATTTCCAGGAGCAGACAGGTAAGCTAAGTTTTGTACGAATATGACTAAAAATTATCTAGAAAACTCTGTACTTCATAATTTTTACTACATTAATTGTGTACACTCGTTTGTCATAAAATTGATACTATTTCTATTCAGTGTGAAATCAAGTTAAAAAGACTAATACCGATTTTATAGACTGACTTTGAGACTACGTCACAAGTTCACCGCGAAAATGTTTTATGGCATACCTGCAAAAGAGAGGCGAAAGCTACCAAAAGGGACATTAAGAGTAATTGGAAGAGAAATGCCTATTTGGTACAAATGAAGATAACTCTTTCACGTATCTAACTGGAATGATACATATACATCAATTTCTTTGAACATTTAATTAATGTCCTCCTTCACATGCCGAAGGTACAGTAAATCGATTCGTAAGGTAACAATTCCTACTTGTTCTTATTGTCGATCTGCTAGACACGCAAAATGGACACATGAAATATAATATAGAATTATATTTTATGAAGACAATGTACATGTGTTTTGATGTTATCCAAACATATTATGGTAGCTTAAAAATATAGTCTTACAAACATATGTATGTTTATACAATAGTGTATACGTAAACGTGGTTACGTGGACCTGAGATCTTCCAGTACTTATTTTTGATCGGCAGCTCTTTCCATCTCTTCTCACTCTACTTGTTCGAGTGTCATTGATAAGCTTGAGTCCTATGTAGACCTAATGATACGTTTAAGATTCGCTGTCATACAAAGAGTAAACCCAGGTGTTAATCAGGCTGCAGGAATAGTGTCACGTGCATTTCTTCTATTCGATAGTTTAACTCGGGCCTATAGGTGTGGTCATTAGTCTGGATACATAAATAAGGCATTATTGGTTAATCAAACAGTTGAATTTAAATCCAATGTCAGGATGACATTTGTCAAGGCATGATTATTTTTACTAAACAAAAATATTTTTATATGGAATTTGAATTTTCCAGCCTTTTTATCATCGTTGACCAACTTTTATCAGTTTAAAATATCATTATTGATGGGAACTCCTAGGTTTTTTAAATTTGTATACTGCATGAAAAGTTGATATGATAATATATTTTCATATCTAGACTATTTTATAGGACTGATGGAATATTTTAACCTTTCAATTATGAGATAAAGAAACATAATATAAGTCACTGTCAACTGAGAAATAATGCTAGCAACCTTAATCTCATTTGTTTAATCAGTTCTTATCAGAGAACACTATTTGTGCAAACTGTAATCACCCTGTTGAGGATAACCAACATTTCTTTTTTTTTGGCCCTAAGTACAAGGATATAAGACAGATCTCACTTCATTCCATTTACTCAATTGTTGATAATGTTGACATAGATATTGACTTATTACTTACTTTTTGGAAACAGATTATTTTCGTATGATATGGATATTGCTATTTTTAAATCTGTTTAGATATATATCAGTGACACTCTCCCTTTTGTTTAATTTTATTTTTTATTTTTGTTTTATTAATGGGTTTATTTATTAATTTATTTTTTTTTCATTCCATTTCTTTTTTGTCAATATTAATTCATTTATCCAACTAAGTAAGCGTAGTGTCTCTTTAAAATTATAAATGTATTTCCATTAACTTATAAAGGATATTGAAATGTCTCAAGGTACTTGAATGAATGATGATTGATTGCCCACATACTTAAATATACCATACATTTAGTAATCAACACTAAAAAAATATATTTGCGTGTGTTTGCACATAAGTAGTATGCATTTTCCACTATATTATGATATTTCAAATGCAGTTGTTTATATTTCATTTATACCTTGTACGTGTTATATGGAGAGAGCTTTTATAGGCTGTGCCTGTTGCTCAATCCTTTTCATATCTTAATGAACATAAAATGTTTAAAATCAAAATCATATCTAGACTAACATTTTTATTTAGGGGCCAGCTGAGCCCCACCTCCGAGTGCGGAATTTTTTCGCTGCGTTGAAGACCCATTGGTGGATCCGGCTGTTATATGCTCTTAGGTCGGGTTGTTGTGTCTTTGACATATTCCCCATTTCCATTTTCAATTTTTAACTTCTTAAAAATGAAAATGACGGATGGTTGAGAACAAAATCAACGTCAAAGGGAAATATTTTGCTATTTAATTTTTAACAATACATACCGCAGCACTTACAAGGCATGTGCAACATTTCGAAGCACATAAGTTCACCCCTATTTGATTTTAAATGAAAATACCACTGTATGCATTTTTGTTAGAAACTATAAAAAAAAAATCCAGGATGTATAATTACGTGAATACTTGAAGAAATGTATGTCAAATGGACATAATAGGAATAGCAAAATCCACCTCAGGTCGACTTTGCTTGAGAGAGTGGGAAACTTATTTTATTTCTAAATTCATAACAAGAAATTTAAGAAAGGAATGTTATTAAACTTATTAGCACCTGATACTGTCTAATGAGTGGACTATATCGCTATTAATGTTTTTTTCTGCGATTACTTATATTATATTGGGCACTATAACACCAACTTCCAAAAGTCGAATCCTCCGGTCAAAATAGACAAACAACAAAAAAAAAACAATGATAAATTAACTGTTTACAAAACTTTGAATTTTTGAAATACTAAGGCTTTTCTACCTCAGGAATAGATTACCTTAGCTGTATTTGGCAAAACTTTTAGGAATTTTTGGTCCTCAATGCTCTCCAACTTCGTACTTTATTTGGCCTTTTTAACTTTTTTAATTCGAGCGTCACTGATGAGTTTTCTGTAGACGACACGCGCGTCGGGCGCAAATACAAAATTTCAATTCTGGTATCTATGATGAGTTTATATATATCGTTGTCTGTGTTGCTGGTATCGGTAAAGGTATCTCAAACCTTTGTGCCAAGAAAATTTATTTCATTTCAAACTTTCATGTATATCCATTATTAAGAGTAAGGGATAGATAGATAACAGATAACATATATTTACGATTGAGCTACTCTGTGATACTCTATTACCGGTTTGGCTCAGCACCGATTTCAACAGGAGAAACAATACGAATTTTCCTTTATACACATACATCATAAATCATAACATGTGGAAAACCAATGTCTATTTTTAAACATTGGTTTCATAGAATCTAATATTAGTATTTTGTTATCTGGGAATTTTCTGTCAAAATACACATAAATCATAACACATCGTTGTAATAACAGTATGATAATATCTTTCCAGGAGCAGAAAGGTAAGCCCAATTTTGTAAAAAAAAAAAAGACTAAAATTGTTTGTAAAACACTTATTTATCTATATATTTCATAACTTGTACTACATGTCCAGTTTTAATCTAAACATTTAAAAATATTGAGTATACTTGTTTGTAATAGTTTGATGCTTACTAGTTCTATTCAGTATGCAACTAAGTAAAAAAGGATTATGCCGATGTAAGGTACTGATTTTATTTTTTGTTTCCAAATTTTGTCATGTTAATGTGTGGTTGGATAACAGACAATTTTAATGATAGCCTTTCAATCCAATGTCCGGAAAGATGACCTATGTCAAGGTTTACATGTATTTTTTTTTTACCGAAAACAACTATTTGTTATATGGCATTTTGATTACATGAAAAGTTGCTTTGATGATATTTCTCTAGTCATATACTTTTTCTTCTAAGGAATATCAAACCTTTTGGCATCAAAATAAACGCAAAAGATACCAGAGGGAAATTCAAAAAAGATAAAGACCAAAGACAAACAATAGTACACAAGACACAACATAAAAAACTAAGGACTGAGCAAACACGAACCCCACCAAAAATTGAGGGTGATCTCATGTGCTTCGGAAGAGTAAGCAGATCCTCTCTCAATATAAAAATTAATAATCAAACGATGGACAACTATCTATTAAACATTGAAAACATTGGGTTTTGCTCATTGCTGACGGCCGTACGGTGACCTATAGTTGTTAATTTCTATTTCATTTGGTCTCCTGTGGAGAGTTGTCTCACTGATAATTATACCACATCTTCTAATTTTTATATGAGTTGTTATGATTAGATGTCTAATTATCATGCCAGGTTTTAGCTTTTTTACAGTTGACTTTATAAGTGACTGTTAATCTCCCTCCATAAAGTTTCAATAATGCTGACATCATGAAAAATACGAACTTGTTCTTCCTTTTCCATATTTACCTTTGATCTTGATTTGTGGGCAGTTTATTGGTTTCAATGTTTCACGACCGGACAAAACATACAAAAAAACAGATGATAAGCTGTCGAATGATATTTATTTTGCAGTAAAGTATGAGAACTTATGTACTTTTTATATACATACATTTACAAGAAATCTACCCAAAAAATTTGTGTTTAATTATTGCCAAGCCTGTAAAGATGTAAATATCAGTGAAAATACACATCCGTCATGTAATTGTAGTAATTCCGAATACACTTATGGCCCTATTTCCCATATTATAACAGGAGACCTTAACATCGTTCGCGACCGAGAGTTAAAATCATTCCTCAGTAAAGGACCCAAATATCGTCCCCCGTCAATTATTAATTGGAATGAGTGTCGAAATATCATCCACGACTAATTTGGTGCTTACTGTTTGAAATGGATTAAACGGGAAAAAGCTGACAAAAAATCTTTAGACTCTTTTTTTAATTCAGTAATGAAGATAGTTGATATACGTATACAACTTTTTAAAGAACATTTTACTCTTAACAACAACCATAAAAATCCTTTCTCTCGTATCAAACATAAACTAAAAGAACTAGCCAAGGAATTTGTTTTTGTCCCGGCTGATAAAGCTGCTAATAATATCATTATAGTTTGACGTAAATTTTACATTGAGGTTCTGCAAAAGGAAATCACGAATTCACCAACATACCAACTGACATCATTTTCAGAAAACGATATCTGTAACAAACATAAACTATTAGCTACTTCTTTACAAGCAGAACCAAATACAATGAAAGTCCCAACTATGTACTGGCTTCCGAAGCTACACAAATCACCTTACAAATATAGATTTATTTAGTCTTCAAGTCATTGTTCCACTACTAAATTGTCTATTCTACTTACTAGTACACTTGGTACAATCAAAAACCTGATAATAAATTGTTCAAATAAGGCCTTTGAAAATAGTGGAATTAACTACTTTTGGAGTGTCAAAAACTCGTTGGAAGTACTTGATAAATTGCATGCATATATTGGTGATTTTGAATCTGTTCAAAGTTTAGATTTTTCTACCCTATATACCACTTTGCCTCATATTCTTATTAAGACAAAATTCAAACACTTAATTAAATGGGCATTTAAAAAGTCGGAATGCGAATACATATGTTCAAACTCTTTTAGGTCATTTTTTAGTAGCAAAAAACAAAAGAGCTATGTCAATTGGACATGCTTTGATACTATATCTGCCCTTGAATTTTTACTTGATAACATTTTTGTTCGCTTTGGAGATTCCGTATATCGTCAAGTTATCGGAATTCCAATGGGGACTAACTGTGCACCACTTATTGCGGACCTGTTTTTGTATTGTTATGAGTTACAATTTATGACTAAAATCAGCAAAGACGTATTAAATTTTAGCGAGAGAAATTTATATATTACTGAAAGATTATTACACCAGGGTTTTCGATATCATAAACTAGTCAAAACATTTACTAAATTTTATCATCGGTATAAGGACATCATTCGTAAATATAACTCAACATGCAGACATCTTATACGTTCGGGTATTTCACATCCAATCTTTTATGGTAATATTCTTTACAAAGCACAAAAATGTCAGTATTCACCTCAAAAGCTAACAAAACCTTTAAACAGACTTATTAGGAAGGGATATAGTTACGATACTGTTGTCAGGTCATTAAAAATTGCATATTTTGGCTTTAATATTGATTCACTTATAGGGTCTTTGCATCGGCATTAAACATATTTATTCTAAAACCAGTTGTTGGCATGACACAGGTTTTGTTCTTCTCATATATTTTATGACGGTATAATACTAAACCCCTAACAGGAGGGATTGTGCCTGATATTTATATGATGAAGACATAATCTTTCAATCAGTTTAATTGAGGTCTCGAGCTGGCATGTCAGTAACTGCTAGTAGTCTGTTGTTATTTATGTATTATTGTCATTTTGTTTATTTTCTTTTGTTTCCTATTCAGACATCGGACTCGGACTTCTCTTAAACTGAGTTTTACTGTGCGTACTGTTGTACGTTTGTTTTTTCTACATTGGCTAGAGGTATATGGGGAGGGTTGAGATCTCAAAAAACATGTTTAACCCCGCCGCATTTTTGCGCCTGTCCCAAGTCAGGAGCCTCTGGCCTTTGTTAGTCTTGTATCATTTTTAATTTTAGTTTCTTGTGTATAATTTGGAGTTTAGTATGACGTCCATTATCACTGAACTAGTATACATATTTGTTTAGGGGCCAGCTGAAGGACGCCTCCGGGTGCGGGAGTTTCTCGCTCATTGAAGACCCATTGGTGGCCTTCGGCTGTTGTCTGCTCTGTTGTCGGGTTGTTGTCTCTTTGACACATTCCCCATTTCCATTCTCAATTTTATTTTGATTTGTTTGTTTGTAGATAGATATAGGTAGATCTTATATGAGTGCCAATTAGACAACTCTCCATCCAAGTTACAATTTATAAAAGTAAACCATTATAGGTCAAGGTACGGCCTTCAACACGGAGCATTGGCTCACACCGAACAGCAAGCTATAAAGGGTGTGGTTATCTTTTATAACGCGAAATATGTGAAGTGTGTGTGAATGTATGAGTGTGTATATTTTGTTTTAGTTTTGCTCTCTTTTGTTTATGGGTTTTCATTGTCCCTTAAGGATGTTCGCTTGTCATGTTTTGGAATTTTTGTCAGATTTTCGGAATCCTGTGGTTTTATCCCTTTGAATGCCTTAAAATATTCTGCCCAATAACTCCCATTTTTCTTTTTATAAATCTTTTACATGTATAATTATAAGGCATTTGTAAAAATCTTATAAAATCTTTGTTATTTTTTAATAGTTTATGAGAACTTAAACTTGTCAATGATAAAGCTATGAAAAATCAAGAGAGAACATTTTCCCGTCGGAATTTCAATGGCTAATATCTCATAAACAAGCAAACGAACCAATATTTTTTCTTGCTCTTTTTGTTCCTTTACTAATCCCCTATCAATATATACTAGTGTTCTGAAAAGCTTGTTATTTTGAAACTGATTATCGAACTTCCTTAAGTATATTTTGTCTCATTCGACCGAAAACAGTTGTTTTACCTATTGTACAAGGAAAACTTGTGATAAACTGAAATAAAAAACCAAAAAATCAAACAATTTTGTGAAAATAAAGGTTTAAAAAATCAAACGATAGACAATTGTTACTTTTTTTATTGTCTACAGCCAGTAACCAAAGGGACAAGAACCAGTTAATCTTTATAACAATAAGTAGTTAGAGAGTTTTAGTTGTGAAAATGCAAAGCTTTTCATTTTTATTTGATGAACTCTTCAACAAAATGCAAACAGCGGTGAAAACATAAAGGATTTAGAAGCTGATACATCAAGTGTCACTGCAAATTAACAACTTCCAGTTAAGCGTTAAATAGAGAGACATTCATTGTCAACATGGACACTTGATGCAATACAATTTGTGACTATAATAATATTAATACCAGAAGGTCGATACTTCTTTTGGTTGGATGTTACTCCTTTAGGGTATCACCAGCCTATCTTTTAATTTACTCTAACATCTAAAACTTGGATTGATTTTATCACTTGATTTACGATACATGTAAAGTTGCTCACTTTCTAAAGCATTTAAGAAAATATTTATATAGGCCATCGTGATATCACGAATTCAAACGATGCGAATTTAGATTGTGTTAATAGATTGAGAAAAAAAAGATAGCGCGAAAACTATTTCCTGGTTTACAGTAGCCTGAAGCACTTCGTTACTGGCATGAAAATACGGATATAGAGGTATTGACATTTTTGTTATAAAGTATCAAAATCAATTTAAATTGAGGAAGTAATCTCCCTGGTTTTTTTTCTCGTATTCCTTGACTTCCGCTACTTTTTAGTTTTACCAGCTCTTCGACGTTTGAATTAAGTTTGTAATTTATATATTTTAGCCTCATGTATCACTGAAGAGCCATTACATGTTAAAATTCACAGCTGGTGAAATGTAAATGGTACCGTTAATATTACTGTACATATTATTTGAAGTTTATAGCAATGTATAGTCGAGCGTATATTTTTTTCAGATTTATATATGAACTTCCTAATTGTTGAATTTACTTCGGAGTTCGGTATTTTTCTTAATACATTTTTGAATACAAAAGTATATGTACATATTTATAGTCTTATATTTATTCTCTCATGATAATAACTTGTATTTTTACAGGTAAACTACATATTACCGGCACACCAACAGACGAATTTCTAACAGAAATCAGTAAAATATATTCCGCAAACAGTTTTGAAGTTAAATTTGTAAAAGTGATTAATTCATTTTCATTTTGTACCTATACTTTGTTTCTACCTACAAGTATATGAAATATGAAGTCTCGATACAGATAACAAATATTGATAAAAATTTGTGTAAAAGTCGTATGTTCTCTGAAAAAAAGATATCTTGATTTCTTTCATTTACAAAACGAAGAGTGACCCCGTCTCAAAAAACAGAAAGTGTGACAACTTGTTGCTTGCAATGTCTTGAGATAGTTACAAACACGTCACCTCTGTTTGTAAAAGGGTGCTTCCAAATCAAATGAGTGAAATCTTTAATGTCATTAATGAATTTTAGATAACACTTTCTTAATGTAAGAACTGTATCGTTCGTCATATTTCATCACAAAAGTATGTTATGATAAATATTCAAAACTAAGATCCACTTACCTAAATTGAACACGATTCTAAATATTTCATAAGGAGAAAATCTATAATAATTATAATTTATCTGTAAAGATTGAACGACAATGATGTAGGCCCAATAGAATTTAAAAGTATGTTGTTGAAATATGTGCAATATGACTTGAGTGACGTATAAAGATCTCGTTTTCAAGATTCAGGCGTTTGACGTTTCAGAGACGATACTTGAGGTCTCGTATGCATTGTATTTTGTAGCAAATCTCGGACAAGTACATGCAACTAGTATCCAAGTTTTTAGTGGCTTATATGTAGTTGCCTCATCAGCAAAGACACTACATCTCCTCATTTCATATTGAACTCATAATATTTGTTAAATTGACATTTATTTCCATAATAATAAGCCGATGCTTTATTCTTCCTGTCTTAGAAGTAAGATTAAATTTATCAAATTTTCACAAAACAAGGAATATAAAAGTTATCTATGAAAACCTTGATGAAAGAATCTATTGACAAGGAATTTTTACGAATTTAAATATCGGTACGTCCCCATTTCATACAAACCCCATAAACAAGCAGAAATATTTATGAAACGACAAAAAATAATGTCAAAGTGTACATATTCGACGGAAACGAACAAATGATTAAACCTTCAGTATTGAATTTAAAACATGTTCGATTGCAAAATTAATAAAAACTCATCCCTCAGTGTCAATAAAATGACACGATTTATTTGAGAAGGATTTAAATCAAATCTCTAACCTAAAAAAAGGCAAAACAGTAAAATAAAAGAACAGAACAGTTTTAGATTATCAAAGAGATATAAGAAGATGTGGTATGAGTGCCAATGAGACAACTCTCAATCCAAGTCACATTTTATAAAAGTAAACCATTATATGTCAAAGTAAGGTCGTCAACACGGAGCCTTGGTTCACACCGAACAGCAAGCTATAAAGGGTCCAAAAATTACTAGTGTAAAACCATTCAAACGGGAAAACCAACGGTCTAATTTATATAAAAAACGAGAAACGAGAAACACTTATGAACCACATCAACAAACGACAACTACTGAACATCAGATTCCTGACTTAGGACAGGTGCAAACAAATACCAAACCAAACCTTCACCTTTATCTGAAACAATAGTGTAACATCACAACATAGAAATACACGCTATAAAATATAAATTGAAATGGCTTAAGTCAATCAAAAGACAAATTAACACACGTGCAAATACACTCAACGAATAAATTTGATCTATGATACAATGTAAAAACAAAATCAATAAAATAAGGGATGCATAATTAAAGTAACAGTATTATACAGCTGTGAAATGTTAAACAATTTCAGAAAAAATAACATTTACATTGCACAAAGGTTCATTTAAAACAATAAGAAATAGTAGACCTTTTTCTAATTTCTGGAGATAACAATTGGCAATCAAAATGTTTTGTGCCGTCTTTTGATTAAATTTTCCAAGTCAATTTTGCTTTATGAACTATGCATGTTACTTTTGCATAATAAAAGGCAACGTTTAATGCACAGTTTATACCGATCACATTTAACTAAGCCTAATTTTTGCTATATGGGCTGCATGGATCATTTAGTGTTCGTATATTTTGTACGCCTATTTTCCCGGTGGAATCAATTGTTGATAGTAGTAATTGTAATCTGTTGAACTGTCAAACATTTTTATTATGAATTCCTGTTTTCAGAATGGCGAGCAAACCAAAAAAGAGAAAACTGGCTCCAGACCCATACAGTGAGTATTCAGAATGTTTATTTTTCAACTTCTAGGATTATCGTTGTTTATGAACACAATTTTTAATAAATAACGCAACATACCGACACGTTTATTTCAATAAAAAGATCATTTGTATACACAAATGCAGACAAAAAATACAGTTACAAGACGTCGTTCTGGTTTAAAATGCAAAAGCAGTGTCGAACATTTTATATGAAAATTTGACTATACTTCAGATGTTTTTTTGTTGTTGTTTGATCCGCTCTCTAACGTTCGTATAAGATTTTTGCTAATTAGATATTTTGGCATCGAGCATGACTGAATAGACAATAATTGTCAATATGCCCCTCTGGTGCATAAAAACAGTCTGTTTTAACTTCTTTGCCATGACCACGAAGTTCGCGCTTATTATACTATCAAATAAAAACTACTAAGGAATCAATTAAAACGAAAATCCAGGACAGACGAAAACACAAGAATAAAGAAAATCAAGAATCGAGCAAAACGAACCCAACGACGTTGAGAGGGGGTTTGTTTAACGACCTTGTTTTTATTTGACCTATGTAATCGTGTTCTACCATCTGTACAAAGTACAACCAACTATCTGTTACGAAATGGTCATGATATCATTGTTCCATTTTGTATACTATACCTTACTAATGAATCGTTTATTCCCTCCACTATACGTGAGTGGAATAAACTTGATCCAAACATTCGCAGGGTTGACTCTATTTCTAAATTTTAGAAAGAATTGAAAAAACGATTATCTACTAAGTAAAGTTGAAAAGTTTTATTTGTACGGCTCAAGGAAATTGAATATCATCTTACCCCAACTGCGATGCGTAATATCAAGTAACATAAATAATGAACTTGATTTTCAAAAGTTGGAATTTTAACTTATTCTCTTATTAAGATTTTGTTCATTTACAATCATACGTATCTTCTAACTCTTACATTGGAGTGTAGAAATTGCAATTTGGGTTTTATTCGGTCTCGTTTTTTGTTGTCTTGGTCATATAGAATCACGGTGACCTATTTATATGTAGAAATTTATTAAAATACCAAATATCTCAACAAAGATATCAGGCTTATAATTTTGTACGCCAGACGCGCGTTTCGACTTAAAATGCCTAATTATTGACCCTTGTATATAAATTGTGAAAATGTCAAATTCAGTATAAGTTGTATTCCATCTAGATAATTGTATCATTTACAATGAATATGATAACTACGTTAGTCCTTATATCTTGCAGGCATAACGTTTTATTTTGAAGCAAGAATATTATAAAACTCTGACGACAAGTACAACACATATCATGGGTAGTCAATGTCAATTATAATAAATGTTGAAATGATGAGCTCATTGAAAACAATCGTCAAATATGTTGTTTGTATGGTTCAACTATCATAACCTACATAAGAGACTTTCTACAGTCTTGCGTTACACACTTTCGGGGCAAAAGCCTTTACTCTGTTTCTTAATTTTTCCAGCATATGTTTTTGTTCCTACAGCAACTTCTTAAAATGCATACGTTGTCTTATCATTCAATAAAAAACCAAATTAGTCAATCCTGAGTTGTTTTAGTGATGCTTAAATTTGAGCATCAAAAGATCCATCTTTCGTCGTCAGTTATGGCATATTTTTTTGTCATACTATGATGTATTTATTTCTACAATACAGTTATATTAACCCAACAGTATCTATTGAAGTTAGCAAAAAAGATTCCAAGCAATTACCATGACATTTTGATCTTTCTTGGGGTGAAAGACTATACTATTGATCAAATTGAACAGGACAATAAATCCGTTCATCGAAAGGCTTTTAAAGGTTTGCTAGAATGGCAGAGACAGTTTAAGTGTGATGAAAACGAAATGATACAGCGGCTGAAAAAAGCACTAGCTGATGTTGACAGGAACGATTTATGTCAAGAACTAGGTATCTTAACATAAGATAATTATATTTATATACGATATTTATGTTTATCATAAGCTAATTGTATTTCAATAAGACTTTTTTACAATTAAAATAAAAGAAAACTGTATTCATAGTTTACAAACTTATAAACACTATTATGGTATAAATTAAAAAAGTTTAGCAAACAATAACCACACTGTATGAGATAATTTAGTAAAATAAAACCGTAAATCAAAAATAAAGTCAATTAAACACAATCATTCAAAAAAAAATTAATCTTGTTACGATTGTGTCCATAGTCATTGTTGTATATGACTAGTGACTCTAATGTACACGAAATATAACTGGCTTACAATATTTAAAAAATCAAAGTTACCATGATTTTACTGCTAAACGCGATACGCGCATTTCGTCTTTAAAAGTCTCGTCATTAGTGCTCTAATTAAAACAACTTGAAATCCATGTTAGGCTGAAGTAAAACCCGAATAAGCAGTGCGTTACATTTGAATCCATTGAGTCCGCCGTTTTAATCCATATGACAAAACACCTGATTTACTTTTAACAATACATTGATTGTCTCATCCATGCACTGTATAATCAACAACACACGTCCCTACATTTATCTGAATGCACACAGTAGTCTCCATTATTATTTATAAAATGTGTTATACAATTATATACTTTTTAGCACAAAAAGAGCTGGTTTGTCTTAATTATTATACATGTTACATGTAAATTGTTCTTGTATTATCAACGACTTGATTCGGTGATTTGAACAAATTGAAACAACATGTTGCTTGCTTATTGTGTGCTTTTTTTTGCAGACGATCATGCACAATATAAGGATAGAGAGTTTGAAAACAATAATTATTCGCCGGAGGGAGAAGTTACAGATGAACGGAATGATGGAGAAAAAGTAAATGGTAAGAAGTGCTTAGTTAATACAATGTTTCAAAAATATTTACGACTATTCGAGTCTCAAAAATACACTCGCGCACAAGCTTCACATGTTTTTTTCTTATTTGATCAAACGGTACTTAGAAAACTGAATGCAAAATTGTGTCCTGTATCTTTGATAAAGCCGTCTGCTGTGAGAAAGATCTAAAAAAAGAAGAAAGATAGGCTTACAATATTACTTAAGGTGGCTCGGCCCTTTAACAGTGCGCATATTTTAACGCATGTTTCTAACGACGAGCGCCCTGGAAACGGTCGCTTTGAGGGGTTTTCTCAAAAATAGTTTTGACGACGTTGGAACGCGGGCGTGTATGAAAGCACCCTTTCCCGATGTCAACAAACCATGCAAAACGTTCTGCAAATTAACAGGAAATATGTACGGTCAGAACTACAAAGTGGTTTGTTCATTTTTTCACATAAAAAGGACATAATTATACATGATATATTAAAGCATAACATTTAAAAAAAAAAAGAAGAAAATATAAATATTGACATGTACGACGGTATCTGGTGCGTTCGCTCCAAAAACACATTCTCACCCTACATGATCGCCCCTTGGATCCGTTCGCACCCTATTTTCATTTAAATACTGGTTGAATATATCAAAAGATGTCTTTTAGATGTATTAGTATAATATATATGAAAATATTTTGCCAATGATGCAACGTTTAACCGTAAACAAAGGATAGCGATGTACTAATAAACAACTGTATGTCACCTTACGGCGTTCAAAAACAAGTAAAACACATATAGTATGCTATTATAGTATAAAGGCATCGGGGTTCGTCTGCACGCTATAAATAATAAATAAATAAAGGATAATAAATAAGCTTTTTTTAGAGTCGGCAAAGTATATAAACAGAGTCAACATAAGCTCTAATGAGCTTTTAACCGTTTTATCCGTTTGGCGTATTATAACATTTTGTTACTGTCATAAATCTCTTTTTTACTTTCCAAGTATTGGTAGGATCTTATTCTGGAGTATGTGAAATATTTTCCCACTGCAAAATTTTGATAATAGTTACGTATTTTTTATTTGCCAAAAATATTTGAACATAACAATTCCGGAGTATATGAAATATTTTAACACTGCAAAATTTTGATAATAGTTAAGTATTTTTTATTTTCCAAAAAAAAAATTGAACATTACAATTTTCAAACAAAGACTAAATACTTGACAGTCACACATAACATTTTTATTTAAAGATTTATATATTTTATCAAATAATGGGCACGAAGATATCTAACAAAGAAGTAGGTCCACTAAGACCCCTTTTTGGCCCCAAAATATAGCAGTTTTACAAAATTGTTAAAATGTTAACTTTTAGCTTCTTATTGGAAAGAAGAATACTTCTGCTACATAAGTATGGGCTGTTTTTGACAATACAATGCACATGTATCGGGTAATAGCATCGATAAATCATGCTAAATTACTGAAATCTTCACAATTTGGGCATTTGAGTGAATTTTTAGACGGTTTTCGTCTTAAATGGAAGTGGCCGCATTTGTGTTCATTCTTAATATTTAAACGTAAGTTGTATTTGATGATAATACATAACATATATAAAGATTGAGGATGAACACGGATGCGGCCACTTTCATTTTTGACAAAAAACATCTGAAAAGGGACATATTATGGCATATTTGATAGATTTTTAATATTAAAGCTTGAATTTGAGCGTCTTTAATGACTAAATCAGTCCGAATCTTTCACATAAACTAATTGAATCTAATAAAGTAGACACTTAAGTGTTTAAAAAGTGTCCAAAATCTTTTATCAGATAAACTTGAAGTTTGAGGCCAAAATCGGCCCTTACCGGACTTACTCCTTTTCTCGTATCATGATTCTATGATTTTTGGAACTCTGGTCCTATAACATGAGACCTCGGGGCCAATGTTTTCTATTTATGATATTTTCCTTTTACTTATTTTGCTATTTGTTAATTTTCTATTTTCTGTTGTATCTATAAATATGCCAACAGAGTTCGCATTAAAAAAAAGAAAAAAAAAGAGGAAATATCAGCGTAAAAACTATTATAAAAACACATTTTTTGTTTTACGCAGAAAAAAAAACCGTACACTTCAATAATTTGCAGTTTTCCACCTTTGAGCATGTAGATGAAAATTGGTCAATAGCAACCGGGACCTTACTAGTATTCCGACCTTATATATCGGTATATGCAATTATCCTCGATCAATACCGCATGCTTTGCGTAGAACCGCAAAATATTTGGTTTGACCAAGTCGGGATTTTACCTAGGACACACATACACAGTCTACCGGGCAGTTCCAAACACTACCAGTTAAAGACATTATATATAAACAAAATCTATACTACTTACTATAGGTTCAGGAAAAGTTGGGATTGTAATTTTAAAACTCCGCCCAGTACACAGGGCCGCTATATTAGTCGGTGATATTGGCAAACTTTAACTTCTGCCTTACTTTTGACATGCGTTTTTTTCAAAAGGGAAGCTAATAAGGAAAGTTCTCGATTTAAAAAAAATTAAAGTGGAGTGTGTCATTGCGGCAAGAAATACTATGATGCATGAAAACATTTATAATGATGTGTGAACACTGGTTTGACCCACCTGCTAGCTGCAAAGAAACATAATTATCGGCCTATGATGATAATATGGAGATGAAATTTCTTTTTAATATTGACTTTTAAATTTGAACTTTGGTGGATAGTTGTCTCATTGGCAATCATACCACATCTCCTTATTTTCATATCGTAGGGTATAGAAATATGACTTCCCTAATCTGACAGATAATCCCTTGCTATGACAGGGTGTTCATACAGCAGGATGTATAAATAACTCAGGGGGTGGGGGCACTTCAATACTTAATTGATAGGGGTGCCGCTGGGGCCCACCTTTTTCATATAATTTATATTTCAAAAATGTATAACTTTTCATATATTGCGTAGGTAAAAATGTAACCTGTTCCCTATAATGCTTGGGTTTCATGTAGTGTAATGTAAGACTAGAATACCAAAGTGTTAAAAGAGAAAATTTGGTTGATAAAATCACACCCGGGAACACCAAGAAAGATGACAGACGAAGAAGTTATGGAAACTTTATTGACCTTATCATATATTTTTGATAGTTTTCCCGACCTATTCACATAATTTAAAGCTTGAAAAGGTGACCTATTCTAGCGGCACGTCCTATCACCTTGAATAAAGGAAGTGCCCCCCCCCCCCCCCCCCCCCGAGATAAATACGCAGCCTCGTAGGGTAAAAAGGAGGAATTTTGTCCATACCAAGCATGCATTCTCCATTCATTTTTTAGTGGCAGCGGTCTATATAATTTTTGTGTTAACAAGAGTGCACAAGCTGAAATGTCTCACCTGCTTTACTAATCATCATTCATGATTGGTTTTATATTGATATTCCTAAAGATAAAGTTTACTACAAGTATCAGAAAAAATAATATTATTAATGATCAGATAAACCAATCCAAGCCAGCCTTACACAGTGGCGGAACCAGAATTTTTAACGAAAAGGGTAGGGGGGACTGCCTAAGAGAGGCCTGCTCCAGTCATGCTTCAATGATTCCCTAATTAATCAACCGATGGGCCCTCCCCCTAAACCCGCCTCTGTTACAATCACCCCATCAACCAAATATTTTGAAACATATATATAGTATGCCAGTAACAGACAAAACCATGAACATGAGATTAAGTTCAGATAGACCCTGTAAGACAGGCATATTTGTTTTTCATTCATTATTTTGTACATAAATCATGCTGTTAGTTTTTCTCATTTGAATTGTTTTAAATTGTACATTTGTCATTTGGAGGCCTTTTATACCCAACTATGCAGTAATGGTTTTACTTATTGTCGAGGGTTGTATGGTGACATTTAGTTGTTTATTTCTGTGTTATTTGGTCTCTTGTGGGGCGTCTCATTTACAATCATATCACATCTTTTTACTTTATATTTCAATATATACATTTAATAATCATACTATACACCAAATATAATAACCTATTGATTACACAATGTAGCATGTTAAAAGAGGACTTACCATTGACCAATAAACCTTGCAAATGTGGTCAATGACATCTGCCAGACAGACATGTACTCCTTACATTTGTGAATTATTGCATACATATAGTTTATCTACTACATGTACATTTAGTATTAGAAAAAAACAGACAAAAACACAAAAACATGACATTGACAAATGACCTTTTGCTAACAGTATCTGATAAACAACCCTAATCATGTAACTTTAACCTTGATCACTGATCCATGAAATGAGGTTGAGACCTTTGTAGCAATCTGTATCAATTTGAGTGCATATCTAAATTTACAAAACAATATTAATCTGGATCATTGTGGTGCTGTAAATTCAGAAATTATTGTGAGGTTTTTATTAATGCAAATAATGCAACAAGGTGAATATCGCAATAATAAGAACTTGCATTCTGAAAACTGAATTATAGATCTTTATGCAGATTTTTTTTGTAATCGCAATAATTAAACTCGCAATTTAGTCAATTCGTCAAAAATCGCAAAAATAAATGCACGCAATAATTCTGAATTTACAGTAGGTAAAAATGTTGTCAGTTAATAGTGAGACACAAGTTTTCCAAGACAATATATAATTCTTTTGGTTGTTTTGTTTGGTTGCTGTCTCATGACTGTATTTTATTTCTCCTTTTATCCAGAAAATATAACTTTTGAAATAAAAACTGAATAGCATATGGATGGAAAACAAATGCCAAATGATGTAAAATAATTCAAGTGGCCATTTAGGTCAGGGGTTAGTGAGGTAAAAGATGAGGCAAAGGCATGTGCATTTACCACAACTGCCACTTGGTATTATAATTTCCAAAATTTACAAATCTCATTAGCTACCTTCTGTATTAAGGACAACTGCATATATTGCAGTTTGCATATCATGAATTGTGTTTGCAGCAACATTCACTACAGACAGCAAAAAAAAATTAGTTCAGCTCTATTAAAATTCATTTTTTGAAATATTTTTTTATTTTTATTCCTCAAATGTCTATGAGATCAAATTTATAAAACATTTATTAGCATTGTTAATTTCAATATACTTGTAATTGTTGACATGTATACATCATGTACATGTACTATCATTAGCTGATCAGCTCTGCATTTTCATTATTTTTATATCAATATTAATCTTCAGTGTTTTTTATAAGACTCAATAATCTGTATTCATCATTGGGACAAGTACACTATGTAGGTAAAGTAGGTCCTTTTGATCTTGGATTTTCTTTTTATGGACTTTGACAGCACTAAAGCATATAGTTCCAAATTATAGTTGATCTTGGCTTCTTGAGTGGATTCTGACAAAACATTGTATATAGACACCAAGTGTAGATGAACTTGGGTTCTCTCATATGGATTCTGACAGTACTTTGATTATACATGTAGTTCCAAGTATTGTTGATCTTGGCTTCTAATGTTGGTTGTTCATAAGTTTCATCACTTTACATATTATAGTTCCCAATTGCAAGACAAGATGATACTGGCTTCTCCTGTAAATTCTGTCAGTACTTTGCCAATAGTTTCCAAGTAAAGTTGAACATTCCAGGATCTTTCACAACAAATCACTCCTTCCTCTTACATGTACTTGAAACCTGACATTAAATGTCAGAGTAATTCTGTCAGAAAATCAACCATGATTGACATTTAAAAGCACAATCTAATTCATATTTTAAATAAATGGGGAATGTGTCCATGGGACACAGATGATGCCCCCGCTTGCATATTAAGTTGTAAAGGAACATAACTAAAGAACAGTAAGAGTGACACTACCCAACTTTTTTACTTGATCTGAGATTTGTTGTAATAAGTAATGTGTATAAGTTTCATAACATTTGGATGAGGCAAACTAAAGTTAGAGAATGGAAACAAAAAATTCAGCAATTTTTCCATTTGTAAAGGGGCAAAGTTCCAGAACAGTAAAAGTGACACCACCAAAAAAAATTCATATTTGATCTGTGTTTGTTGGTAATAAGTATTTTGTATAAGTTTCATAACATTTGGTTGAGGCAAACTAAAGTTAGAGAACGGAAACCAATTTTGGGATGTACATGTACGTACAGACAGACAAGGGTAAAACTTAATGCCCCCTCCGCTACGGCGTAAAAAAATGAAGAATTTGTGGCAACAATAATGAGCAAACAAAATAAAATTACGTGCACAGCAAGTGAAAATAGTGATTTATTTTTATATGTTGAATACAGAATTTTCGGGGCATGCTGTTTCGCTGCCAGGGACAAGTTATTTCTCTGCCTAAAAATTCTGAAATGCAGCTGAGCTACATTTGTACTCCTCGTCAACCAAATTATGCTGAGGTGTCTTGTACCTTGTTTGGAATATGGGATACACAAATTTTGTATTTAAAAATACTAAGCACAAAACAATAATGAATTTTTCAACTCAAATGTATGTGTTATTAGGTAAACAAGATAAGCCTTACATGTACGTGTATGTTTAAACCTGATACTTGATATTATGAAATGTTTTATACCAAAGAGAGACAGGGAGGGGGGGATGCTAATTGTAAACAAATTGTGATCAAGACGAATCCATCAATAAAATGTTTACAAATTAGGCCGTTCATATTCTCAAAAAAACAAATGAAACAATCGAACCCCTTGAGCGGGTGGACAGGGGTAAGGGAACATAGGAATGAGGGATCAGGAAGCGAGAAAAGGGGGTATCATGTGCATGGCCGTTAGTTAGCCTGGTCTGAAGTGAAAATTAAGTAACTAATTTGGTAGAAGTAAATCTTATGAAGATTATAAATAGAAAAACCCTTTGATCTCGTGTGAGTCACTTTATATTTAAACAATAAAAATAAACTTAATATATCTTTATTTTATAGTGTTATAGAACTATACTAACAAAAGCATGATTTAGATAAAAGGAAGGGTACAAACAGACTCAGGGTGGGAATGTAAAAGTGAATTGGAGCGAACATGATTTTGGGTGAAAAGACAAGAATTCGAAGAAAGGGGGAATGAATAATCTGGGAAATATATTTTGCCATTTTTTTGTCTGGGAGCAAGGGGGATGGAGGTAGAAGTTAGGGGAGAATTTTTAGAGTAAAAAGGAAGAGAAATAGAGGTTGGGGATAGGGAGTGGGAATCATGAACCCCTGTCCGAGGGAAGTTATGGGGTACACCATTTTACTAGTCATTATAGACGTTAACGATAAATATTTTACTCCATCTGACCCTAAATTAGATTTTACGAATGCCGATATAAAATCAAGACTCATTTGACGCTAACGGTAGCGCAGATGCTGAAAATGACCATCCCCTCCACTTTGACTGTTTTAAGTTTTGACACTGATATTTTTCAAAACAGGCTATACATGTTCAAAACTTGCCAGTAAACAGGTTAAGGGTCAAGTAAACACATAAATAAAATACCAGCCATAACGATTATACATAGAACAGAAATTTAGCCCATGCAAGGTTTCAGCCGCAGTGATTTTCTACAGTAGCGAGTATTTTGAGATAACCCCCCACTTTGTATTTTTCGTGATACTGATAACATTTGGCTGTCTAATATATTAAAATCTATGTTTTCTTATGTAATGACTCTACATTCATCGTTGTCTATTCGCCACTATGTCTGTTATTCATGCACATGGTCGTATTTATCAGTGCAGTATGCTGCTCAGCAATGGCGACCCTGAAATTTCTGTTGTCCGATTATGGCGCCAAATAAGAGGGAAGCAACTCGCGCCAGACAAAATTACCGTATTTCACCAAAATAATCAAAATTTCACTTTTTTATAACAAACAGTAAAAGCTTAACCACACTTATATTCAGCTATCGTCCATTGATATAATGACAAACATTATTTTATTTAAAGACAGCAATAAAAATTCACAAGAAAGTAATTAATTGAGTGCATTGAAATCAGACCTCATGGGGTAGAGGGGTTAAACAAAAGCTCGTAACTTTTTTAAAAGCCTGGTGACCCCCATTTTATTTTACCTTAAAATGCTCGAAAAGTTCATAGCTTTGACATATCCGTTTTTGAAAAAAATCTACCGGGGAAATTTTACGAAAAATCGATATAACCAATATTTTTAGCCTTAAACTGAAATTAAAAAATGCCAAATTTAGACATAAATCTGAAAATAAAAGAATTTTTAAGTCTAAAACAACCAAGGGGAACGTTTACATTTTAAATTTAATTGTTTTTTCACATAATAATCATACTGACATGGTTCTAAAAGTCTTTGAATTTGATGTAGACGTTGTTGTTGAAAGGGGGGAAAAGTTTGGAAATAGGGTCAAAATCGCACATTTCGCTTCCATTTGAGGGGAAAACGAGCCTGGTGACCCCCTTTTTTCTTTGCATTTTTGGATTCAGCATAAAAAATTCTACAAAATATGTGAAAATAAAAAAATTCTACCGGGGGTCCTTATTGGGGTGAGCCACCTTAATCTGTTTTAAATGAATGACTCGTTTTTTTTCTGTTTTGCATGTGCTCCGTACAAATCCTTTTAGTATTCAAAAGAAAGCTTTAATAACGAGGACACTTTCGTCAAATGATAGTTTCATCTGTAGAATACAAATTTAAAGTCGCCTTTATGAAACCAATTCTCACAAACAATATGCCATAACTGTGTCAAGTAGATGGTAATTAAACAGTTAATCATTTAACATTGACAGTAATTCTTTCTTATATAAGTAGAAAATTTGTCAGCCGTAAGCGGTTGAGCTAATGAAGTCCCTTTTTAGCTCACTCGATTAACGTGCAGCCTTGTAACACAGCGGTCCTGGGTTCCAGTCCCGGAGGAGACAAAGATGATTTTATTTGATGAATCATGCTCTCCTGTAACATTTGGCGTCAAACTAAAAAATACAAAGATGATTCTTAAGATTGGGGAAGTGTGACGGGATTGCTTCCCATCTTTAGTAAGATACTAAGTCAGCTGTAGGCGTTTTAGCTCAAGAAGTACTTCTTTAGTTCAGTCGGTTAACACAGAGGTCCCGGGTTCGAGTCCTGGGAAAGACAAAGATGATTTTGTATTTTGAATCAAGCACTCAGGTTACACAGATGTCACATCTTAATTATAGTAACGTGTAAAAATAAGATAAGCTGATCTCTATCTTTACTTTAATTGGTAACATGATACTGTCAGTTTGCTTTTATATGTTTCATCTTCTGTTGACCGTGGTCTTTATAACTTACTGTACGGTATATGGGTTGAAAAATGTTGACGACCGTGCGATGGTCCATAGTTGATTTAATTATTGCTCTTTAGTATATTGCTGGATACTGTGGATTCATTATTTGTCGTTGTATACCAATTTTCGTGGATTTCGCGGGTATAGCAGAACCACGAATTCAACTGTTCAACGAAAAACAAATTTTCTATAGGGCTGTATGCAGAATTAAGCAAAACCACGAAAGTGTACCTTTTCCTCAATCTACTAAATTTGAAACCTACGAAAATAAATTAATAAACAAAAGTAGTTATTCATCGTGATTAAAATTAGAACGTGTCATATCTTATCATAAATCCTGTATCAATAATGTCTTACAAAAAGATATTTACTCTTTTAAAATCTTCTTTTAAGCTGCGGTGCATCAAAGTATTCTTAGATAAATTATATTTAAAATTAACTTTCATTATAACACATTTGAATGTTAAAAAGGAAATAAACGACGGAAAGCACAAAAAGAAACACAACACGGAGATGAAGATTTTGAAGACGAAGACGAAGACGACGACGAAGAAAAAGAAGAAGAAGAAGAAAAAGATGATGATGACAAAGGCGATATCGAAAATAATGATGATAATGATAATGACGACGACGACCACGACGACGATGACGACGACGACGATAACGATGATAATAATGATGACGATGATGGAGACGATGATGATGATGATGATGATGATGATGATGATGATGATGATGATGATGATGATGATGATGATGATGATGATGATGATGATGATGATGATGATGATGATGATGATGATGATGATAATGATGACGATGATGAAGACGATAATGATGATGATGATGATGATGATGATAGTAGGTGTCATAATTTTATACGAGATTTTTAATTTATTTTGAGAGCACTAAAAGTCGGAAGAAATTGAATGACCGTATTTGTAATGTCATTAAATATATTGATTATGGAGAAAAGTTTTAGCACAACAAACATTTCAATTCTAAAAATGCTCGTGAAATCTAACGTAGTAATAATATGTCCTTCAGTACAGTATAAACCACATTGGTTTGTTGTCTTGATATCGTATCTCTTACCACACAAATCTTTACCCAACGTAACCATTCTATATTTTATTTGTATTTCTCCTTATTGTACGCGTGTCATTCTCTGTACTTTTGATTTGACTCGGTGTTATATACAGTTGTTTACCTAAAACACGTGGCCTGAAACTTGTACTCTACCTCTCAATGTTTTAAAGTAATATATTAGTGCTAGAATGAATATGTCAGTTCCTAGACTTTGAACTTTAATCATGTGTTAAATTCATTCATGACCTGCGTTTTAATACATGTATATGTGTATGCCTTTTCGTTTGTAATTTTATTTTCTCTACAAATCGTTTTTCATTTTAAACTATCATTTCAGAGTATTTTCCTGTAGACAAATGTATCGTAAGTAAAATTTACTACATCAATGAATCTCTTTGTTCATATCGGTTTTCCCAACGAAACTGAAACAAACTTTTTGTGAATGCTACTGAAATAACAAAATATTTAATCTAAATTCTTAACAATAAATATTGATTAATAAACATACAATATATAGGAATACTATAAAACACCTTTTAGTATATTATGAAGGTTGTTGTAATGACACAGCCATTGATCTTAGTTGTCTATCAGGAAATTCCCGTTGAAATATTTGCAACAAGGTCAGTTGGTCACACAGCCATTGGTCTTTGATGTCTATCAGGAAATTTCCGTTGGAACATGTACAACAAGGTCAATTGGAACTAAAATTGGAATATGTACAACAAGGTCAATTGGAACTAAAATTGACCTGTATATTTCTTGGAGGGTAGACTGGATAATTTAAATCAAATTATCATTGTCATTGTCAAACTTCGGATGCATGAAATTTAGAATGTGTTTTAAGATTGATTTGTATGCATTTTTAAAATTGTATATTGAGTTTCAATGCATGTTTGTGATATACAGTTTTGGCTGCTGGATCCAAATTTTTTTCACATTTACTTATTATGTCTGTTGGGTTAATATACTAGAATTATAAACAACTGGCATACTAAAGGGAGGATTAACTAGCTAGCAAAATGTTATATAACAAAATTATTAAACTCTTAGGAAAATTCAAAACGAAAAGTCCCCAATTAAATGACAAAATCATAAGCTCAAAAACATAAAACGAATGGAGAACAACTGTCATATTTCTAATTTGGCACAGGCATTTTCTTATGTAGAAAACCAGACTTAATCCACCATTTTGTTCGGAAAATGTATCTGCCAAGTCAAGAGCATGGCAGCTGTTTTTCAGGAAATTTCCGTTGGAATATGTACAACAAGGTCAATTGAAACTAAAATTGGAAAATGTACAACAAGGTCAATTAGAACTAAAAATTACCTGTATATTTCTTGGAGGATAGACTGGATAATTTAAATTAAATTATCATTGTCATTGTCAAACTTCGGATGCATGAAATTTAAAATGTGTTTTAAGATTGATTTGTATGCATTTTAAAAAAAATATTCAGTTTCATTGCATGTCTGTGATATACGTTTATACAGTTTTGGCTACTGGATCCAATTTTTTTTCCATTTACTTATTATGTCTGTTGGGTTAATATACTAGAATTATAAACAACTGCCATACTAAAGGAAGGATTAACTAGCTAGCAAAATGTTATATAACAAAATTACAAAACTCTTAGGAAAATTTAAAACGAAAAGTCCCCAATTAAACGACAAAATCATAAGCTCAAAAACATTAAACGAATGGAGAACAACTGTCATAAATCTGAATTGGCACAGGCATTTTCTTATGTAGAAAACCAGTCTTAATCCACCATTTCCTTAGGAAAATGTATCTGCCAAGTCAAGAGCATGGCAGTTGTTTTTCAGTTGGTCCGTTGATTAGTAGCGTTTGTTTTTATCAGTTTTTATGGACTTCACCCTTTTTTGAAATTGCCTTAGGGTTTAGTATTTTGTTATACATTTTTATACGTGATACCCTCATCACACTAATGACTCTGATTACTCAAAAATATATCATAAGGTTGAATTCTCAGATTAATAAATCAAAAACTACAAATTATTCTTGTCAGATACCAAACATTTTCAACTATTGAGAAAACTCATTGATTATGAACTAAAGATTAAAAATTGGTAACTCTACTAGTATATTGCAACTGGTATTACACAAAACGCTCTCATGTCTGCTTTCTTATAATTTGATGCATTCGTAGTTATCTTTCATCTTTCATAGAATGACCAAATCAGCATTTATATCTCACTGTCATCGTTTCTTACAATTAAAAACAATTTGTTTTAATATAATTTTGAGCTTTTGGATACCAACTTGGCCAATTAGAAACAAATCATTATCTACATCTTCCCTGAGAGAAAAAAAGTTTATTTGTTGCATTTTTACGATCTATAATACCCTGCTTGATTCAAAGTTTTAAAGTGTTAGTGGATAAACATCATAGCTATAACGAGTAGACAAAATCTGAAGACTAGAATTTGTTCACGTTAGTACTTCTTTACAAATTACCGAAAAGACTCCAGGTCTTCTTGGTAGAAATATGCTTGTTTGAAAATTAATCGATGTGACTAAAACTCAGAAACTGTAAGGCATAGATACATGTAACTGTGATCTTTGCCAGCTGTGATCATCAATTCATGTAATCTTGATAATGCCTCTAGATCAAACATCAGATTGATCTTGACCTGTTTACCCGATACTGTGATAGGGGATAATCTCAGAAAATGTTATACTTACAGTCGTCTTTAATCGAGGAAAATGTTTATGTCATGAGGTGAAACTATGTTACATTCTGACCTAAGAATTTCTACCTTACTGTAAGTTGACGTTTTCTGAATAGACATAATAACCTATTACTGTGAAAGCAAAGGTCCTAGAACCATGGGATCTTTCGTAATCACATTGTGAATCATAGGTGAAGTTCACCTCAAAGCTTTGTGTTTTAAGCCTTTTAAAAGGGTTTAGTGGTTTTTTTAAAGCATTTTCATCTGTTTAAACATATAATTTACAATATGAAAAGGAAATAACTTTGAACAGATAGTTAAACTTTTTCGTGTTTGTTCACAGGTAGCTGGTGTCAAAAGAAATGACACATGTTCTTCATTATCGGAAATCAGTCCATCAAAGTATATTGTGAAAAGCAGCATACTTCTAAAGGTTGAAAGTAAAGCAGCATTGGTAACTTATCGCAGGAAGAAGATGTCAAAATACCGCCTAGACTTGATTCTGAGCGATGGCGTAACGTTCATAAAGGGTGTTGCATTCGAACATAATGCTCAAACAATTAAAGACAAATTATCCGTTGGTAAGGTGTACAAAATTTCTAAATATAAAGTCAAGCAGGCTAATGTAGTACCATCATACATGGAACTTACCTTGTTTGACAATTCAAAGATATCTTTGCAAGATAACAATAAAATCACGGACATTCAAGTGAAGGAATTATCAATCAATGATGTAAAACAACTCAAACCTATCAATCAGTTAGTATATTTAAGTAAAGCAGTTATCATTGCAGTCTCAGAAATTCAGAAGAAAAAACGAAAATACCTTAGAACAGTACAGCTAAAAGACTACACAGAAAAAGTCATGTTAAAGATTTGGTATGAGGAGGAGGAAAAAAACGTTAAGTTTGAATATAAATCAGGAGATGTAGTCAAAGCAACGTTTGTAAAAGTTGGTGCGTTCGGAAATGAAATTCATCTTACTTTGGTGAGCACAACAGAATTGGTTAAACAGGAAGATAAAAGAATGGTGAAGAAACTTCTTAAGGGCGAAAATTTGAATATATTTACAAACAGAACTATGTCAATCAAAGAAATCAAAGAACTTAAATACAGCCAGGAAACAGTTACTGTCGTGGGAGTTGAATTGGTGAGTTTTAGGAAAGAACAGGAGTATGATTTAGTCTATGATACTTGCAGCATCGTTCCATCACATGGCAAGCTTATTCCAAAAGCTTGCAAACTGTACTGCAAAAAATGCGTAAAGTTTGTGAGTGGAAAAAAGATGGTGCAACTTAATGCTGAAGTAGTAGATGATTCTGCAAAAAGTGAATGGGTGGCAATCTTCAACCAATGTTCGAAGGAAATCTTAGAAGGACAATATGCTAGTTTTATTAAAAGTAGTCATTTTGAAAGAGTACAGATTTTGAAGAATATAGAAGAGGATGAAAATTTATACTATGTATTCGAAGTTACTGTTAAGAAGGGAAAATTCACTAATATCACAGCAAAGAGTATTACAAAAATAAAATGACTATTTCTATCGACTACTTGACAAGATATATTGCAAACACATTTTTCTTATAACATACGTGTTTTAGATACCTTGTACCAGGGTTATGTAAAAGAATTTCTCGTTTTTTTTTCTAAACAAGTTCATCGGAAAATATCAAGACCTTGTTGATATATATTCTATATCAACTTCACAAATAATACATGATGGGTTTGAACTATAGATTCTAAGTACTTACGTTGTTTATCAACTTAATTACGTGTTCTTTTATTTTATTCGTAAATTTTTACTTTTACTGTTTATTCTTTTTATTTTGTAATAACTATTTGACGAGGCTCGGTACTAATACATCCCGTTTTTGTTTTATTCTGCTATGGTAAATTTGTGTATTCTTGTCCTTCGTTTTTTCTTATGCGCTTTGTTTATATGCTTTTTTGTTTTTTCTAGGTTGACATATGTGTTTGAAATTATAGTGATTAAGATTATAAAACAATGTTGACTGTTGTGCCTCATTTTTTGACAAACTTACCCTATGTGTCTCTTTGTTGTATTCACACATTATTGTCAATATAAAGGAATTTCATGCAATTGTCATACAAGTGATAGGTTCAGCTAGCTATAAAACCAGGTTTTATCCATCATTTTCTTGAATATGACAGTTGTTTTTTATTCCTCTGGTGTGTTTGAGGTATTTAATTTGCCATTTGATAAGGGACTTTACAGTTTAAATTTTTGTTCGGAGTTCATTTTTTTTGGTTATTTTACTTTTTGTATGACAACATTATTTCTTTATGATTTCTATTTGAATAAAGATATTGAAATAACGTTTCTCTTATTTTTGTGTTATGTTCACATTTGCTGAGCGGTGTGAGAAAAATATTTCTCATCACTAGTGAAATATCTGTTCTCAGCAAATGATTGGTCGAAATTTAATTATGACCTTAAATTTCCTTGATTTCTTCTGAATTTCCTATTGTGACGCCATGAAAATTGCGACCATGCCTGATGACGTCACATATAAAAAACACTACTTTTTGCAAATGTTTGGAAAGGAAGGATTAAAATCGTTAAAGAAACAGATTCCGCCACTATAACTCGTCTTTTACGATATTTCTTTAATTTTAAATTATTTAAAAAGATTAAAATTTAAATGTCTCAAGTGGAGATAAAACGTAACATACTTGTTGCAGTGATGGAATCTATGTGCATAAATGCACTTTTCAACCTAAACCCATTTTGTTATCTATTTCCAATTCATGGTTTTTACTATAATACTACTTATACATATCATACACAAAGGTTGTCACTTCCTCAGGAAAAAGTCACTATCAAATTTTGCTCTTACTCTTTTCCCTTTTCACTCGTTTTACACCACTTTCCAAAATAGACGCTCGTACCTTTTCAACAAAAAATAAACGCGTATGGCTTACGGAAATCGATATCATAAAGTTATTTTTAATTTCATAAATTATTATTTGATTAATTTAAATTTCATTTTTTATTTGATTTTGATATGTTTTAGAATTTTCAAACTATTTGTTTTATTCACTTTTGAATATCTCCAAATTTTATTATCCCTTTTTAATTGACCAATGATATCATATTATAAAAGTATAGGTTAGTGTCTTCTTTCATTACAAGGATAAAGCGTAAAATTTAAATATAAATGTATAACGTTCAATAAAATTGAGAATGGAAATGGGGAATGTGTCAAAGTGTCAAAGAGTTTTTTGAGATCTCAACCCTCCCCCTATACCTCTAGCCAATGTAGAAAAAACAAACGTACAACAGTACGCACAGTAAAACTCAGTTTAAGAGAAGTCCGAGTCCGATGTAAGAATAGGAAACAAAATAAAATAAACAAAATGACAATAATACATAAATAACAACAGACTACTAGCAGTTACTGTCAGCTCCAGACCTCAATTAAACTGATTGAAAGATTATGTCTTCATCATACGAATATCAGGCACAATCCCACCTGTTAGGGGTTAAGTATTATACCATCATAAAATATATGAGAACATAACCCGTGTCATGCCAACAACTGGTTTTAGAATAAATATGTTTAATTCCGATGCAAAGACCCTATAAGTGAATCAATATTAAAGCCAAAATATGCAATCTTTAATGACCTGACAACAGTATCGTAACTATATCCCTTCTTAATAAGTCTGTTTAAAGGTTTTGTTAGCTTTTGAGGTGAATACTGACATTTTTGTGCTTTGTAAAGAATATTACCATAAAAGATTGGATGTGAAATACCCGAACGTATAAAATGTCTGCATGTTTAGTTATATTTACGAATGATGTCCTTATACCGATGATAAAATTTAGTAAATGTTTTGACTAGTTTATGATATCGAAAACCCTGGTGTAATAATTTTTCAGTAATACATAAATTTCTCTCGCTAAAATCTAATACGTTGTTACATACACGAGCGAATCGTACAAGTTGAGATATATAAACACCATAAGATGGTGACAAGGGAACGTCACCATCTAAAAATGGATAATTCACGATAGGAAATAAAAAATCATCTCTTTTATCATAAATTTTTGTATTAAGCTTCACGTTAATGATAACGATATCAAGATCGAGAAAAGGACAGTGGTCATTGTTAGTATTAGCTTTATTTAAAGTAAGTTCAACAGGATAAATTTCTTTACTATACACACTGAAGTCGTCATTATTGAGAGCCAATATATCATCCAAATATCTAAAAGTATTGTTAAATTTTTGTATCAGATGTTGTTTCGATGGGTCATTGCTGATTTTAGTCATAAATTGTAACTCATAACAATACAAAAACAGGTCCGCAATAAGTGGTGCACAGTTAGTCCCCATTGGAATTCCGATAACTTGACGATATACGGAATTTCCAAAGCGAACAAAAATGTTATCAAGTAAAAATTCAAGGGCAGATATAGTATCAAAGCATGTCCAATTGATATAGCTCTTTTGTTTGTTGCTATTAAAAAATGACCTAAAAGAGTTTGAACATATGTATTCGCATTCCGACTTTTTAAATGCCAATGTGAATGTCTATATTCACGAATAGACCACATTATTAATTTTAGTACTAATTCAAAAATCAGCCTACCAAAATGTTTGTCCGTACAAAGTGAAGTAATTTGAACCGTGTGCAGTTTGTTTGTTTTGTTTGCTGTTGTTGTTTCTTGGTTTAAACGTCTTGGTTTCTTTTTCGGATGAATTGGTTGTTGTAGGTTGGTTTGTTCGTACTGTTCAATATTTTTTTTTCAAATTCATATTATCCTTTGAATGTATTATTAATAAAAGAAGATTGTGTCTTAGAACACGAATTCCACCTCTCAAGCTTGCTTATGATATGTGAAAATATCTCTGGAACGGACCGGAGGCCGGTCGATAAGCCCATAGATGTATATATCTATGGAAAGAACATCAAAAAGACGAACAGACATTAAAACGAACGGTCAAGGGTACGAGTAATTAAATTCATAATTAACACAAAAAAGTAAGAACGGAGTGATTACCATATATGTAGTATCATTTAGAATAGAATTTCTATCTAACGATGAACTCAGTTTTAAAGTTTCTACAAATGTGACGATAAAGTAAATAATTATGAAAATATATTTTCTTTTCTGAATAATCTATATATAATGGTTGTTCTTGACTACAAGAGGCAGGCGAATTTAAAAATAAAATTCAGAAATGACAGGCTTATATCGAGATATGCCAAAACAATTTTTACGAACAATGTTTGTCTGCAGAGTGTAGATCGATTAACTACAATTGGAAAATATTTTTACATGACGGCGACGACAAGTCATATTTGACAACATAACAAAGAATAAAGATGACAAAATTGCATACATCAACTTCATTTGATCTTTGGTGGATAGTTGTATAGTTGGCAATCATACCACATCACGTTGTTTTTGAAAAAGATGAAACAAAAGATACCATGGATAATAAGTGATAACTATAGACGAATTGTTGAATCATAAATCATACAACAGTTATAGTCTTCTGCGACTAATGATGTCAACAATTGCAATGAAAGTAAACATGCAAAAGCTAAGTACATTAGTGTTTTCGTGTGATTTAGTTCAATGATTATCAGAAATTTTGACCATGTATTCTCAGGCAGTTCAGATAATGTTGCAACTGTAACATATATGAAAAAAGATGTTTTTACTAAAATAATACACATGCACGTGTTAAATGACACTATTTAACAAGGAATAACAAGTTTTTTAATTTTCTTGATTGTACATAAACAACTCCCCAAAAAGAGTTCATTGTTGATTCGGACTTCCAACCGTTTTGATTCGATCCCCAATGATAAGTCGTAGTTAGACCAAACGCGCGTGTGAATTGTATAATTATAAGTATACCTGGTATTATTAGTATGTTAACAGTTTTGTTTGTTTTTCTCAAGTTTTCAAGTTGGTTACTGATGCTCCAATAAGTTTTTGTTTTCACGAACATGACAAATTGTGGTTTCGAGCGTACACGATGATGATTTCAGTTTCAAAAGTCGTGCTAATAAATTCGATCTTCTTCAACACGAGTATTCGCAACATTTAAGTACGCTGCTATTCGCAACATTATAGTACGCTGAACATAAGCCCAGATTAGTTAACTTGATCTAAAACAACTCTATTCTTGATAGGTTTTATACAAATCTAAAAATGAATCACACAATATGACAATAACATTGAAATTAGACTTGTATAACAAATATAACACTTATTAATGTCAGTATAACAAAAGACCAAAAATAGTGCGTGCTTTAACCTTCAAAGTACTACATTATCATACACAACATGACTTACAGCAAGCTTACGTCGCAGAAAAAAAATCAAAAACGGCTAAATAAAATAAATTGTGTGTTCCATCAATATTTAAAACCAAATTAACTGCTTATATCGTTTAACCATAGCAACATATCTTTTAACCATGGCAACTTAGCACAATAATCATACAGCTAGGAACTCTCGTTTTGAAATTATTTGATAAATATTTTTAAATTATATTCATTAATCATTCAAACACTTGTTTCAATTTTGTTTCATTATGAAATCACATAGTGCAAAACTAAAAAGGTTAAACCTTTGATTTAATTTGACCTTCCAGTTGTGTGTTTGTTGATCTGACGCCGCAGACAAATCGTATGTTGACGAAAGTGGCGTATTGCGTGAGAAATTATAAGCCTGGAACTTTTATAAGCTTATTATGTATACCAATATGAAAACGCAAATATAAAATTGAGAATGGAAATGGGGAATGTGTCAAAGAGACAACAACCCGACCAAAGAGCAACCAACAGCCGAAGGCCACCCATGGGTCTTCAATACAGCGAGAAACTCCCGAACCCGGAGGCATACTTCAGCTGGCCCCTGTACAAAAATGTATACTAGTTCGGTGATAATGGACGTCATACTAAACTCCGAAATATACACAAGAAACTAAATTTAAAATCATACAAGCTTCGGACGCATGAAATTTATAACGTGTTGTTTTTATTTTGTAAACGTCACTGAGTCGATACCTTAGCTGGTTGACTATCAGTCTCTGACGTAATCTTCATCTTAGTAGTCAATATTTCAGTACTAAGATGATTTATAACAAAGTATAAACAATTGTCCGTTTATAAATTTTGAAATTATACAGAAACTAAGGTCTCAACTCCCTGCGGCAAAGTTGGCCTTAGATGGATTTGGCTATTTTTTTAGAAAATGTCCATGTCTAAAAATTTCTGAAATCAATTGTTCTTTTTTTATTTAATCTAAATCGGAGGGAGGGGGGCTATTAAGGCGACAGTAAAAAAGTACC